GAGGTTCATTGCCGAGGTGTTGCAAGGACTCGATTTCTGCTATGGATACATAGATGACATCTTAGTATTTTCGTCATCAATCCAAGAGCACAAGAACCATCTGCGGCAACTCTTCGAACGCCTAAAGCAGTACGGCGTAGTGGTAAATACTGCCAAGTGTACACTTGGCCAATCAGAAGTCACGTTCCTGGGATACCACTTGTCAGCTGCAGGTACTAAACCACTTGAGTCCAAAGTCGAAACTATCAGGCAATACTCTATTCCAAAAACCGTCACAGAACTAAGACGTTTCTTAGGCATGCTAAACTTTTACCGTCGCATTATTCCCAACGCAGCCCAACTTCAAGCACCGCTGAATGACGTTTTCAGTGGCTAAAAAATCAGAGGGTCTCATCCGATAAACATGACTCCGCAGTTGCTTCGAGCATTCGAAGACTGTAAGGAATCACCATCTCAAGCATTTCTTCTTGCTCATCCGGACCCAGCTGCAGAACTAGCAATAGTGATAGACGCATCTGAAACTGCCATAGGCACCGTCTTTCAACAACGTAAATGTAAGGATTGGCAACCACTTGCTTTCTACTCTCACAAGCTCAGGAACGCACAGAGGAAGTACAGCCCCTACGACAGAGAGCTATTGGCTGTTTACGAAGCCATCAAGTACTTCCGTCACATGGTCGAGGCCAGAATATTTACAATATTCACCGACCATAAGCTTCTCACCTTGGCTTTCTCAAAAAGCAAAGACAAATAGACAGTTCAGACACCTCGACTATTCTCAGTTTACAACAGACCTGAGATACCTACCTGGTAAGGAAAACTTAGTAGCTGACGCACTTTCTAGAGTCGAGGAGATCACATACAGCTGTGGACTACAATGATCTTGCACGAGCTCAGGACAAAGATCCAGAACTGCAAAATCTACTTCTTCATGGCTCTTTGACCTGCAACTGAAAAGGATCAACACTTTAAATGGTAACTTACCTCTCTAATGCGGCACTTTTGTGCAACCGCCACGACCTTACATTACTCATCAGTTCAGAAAACAAGTTTTTGATACACTATACAGCTTACACCATCCAGGAAGATCAGCTACTGTGCGATTGGTCTCACAATAGACAAAGATACGTATGGCCAGGGATAAGTAAAGATTGTTGAGAGTGGTCAAGACAATGCTTCTCATGCCAAAAGAGCAAAATCATCTGTCATACTATATCCCCACCTTCATCTTTCCTCACTCCTTCGTCGAGATTTTCCCACATCCACATCGACATCGTAGGGCCCCTAAATCTGTCTTCTTGTTACAGATATTACCTTAAGGTCAACGACCGATTCACGCGATGGCCATCACGGCGAAGACCTGCGCAGCTGCTCTAGTGTCCGGCTGGATAGGCCGATTCGGCTGTCCTGCACTGGTGACTACAGACCACGGACGCCAGTTCGAGATTCATCTCTTCAAAGCTCTCACCAAGTTGATTAGTGCGCCTCACCTGCGCACAACCGCCTATCAGCTGCGAACGGCATCATCGAGTGACTTCATCGTCAACTCAAGTCATGTGCCACACATCATCGCAGTGGACGGAAGCCCTTCCACTGGTTCTATTGGTCAACTCATGGAAAGAGGAATCTACAAGCTACGCCTGCTAAATTGGTATATGGTCAAACTCTCAGCTTACCAGGCCAATACCTATTTCCAATAGACGACTACACCACGGCAGACGTACACAGAGTACGTAACACGTCTACGATCCTGCATGGCGAAACTCACTCCCAAGCAAACATCATGGCACACCAGCACTACAACGCCATTCTACATACCACAGGAGCTCCACACATCCTCTCACGTTTTTCTACGCCGAGATCACGTCAAAAACCCGCTCAAATCACCATACGACGGACCCTTCAAGGTACTAGATAGGAAAGCCAAGTACTCCACCATAGAAATAAAGGGAAAGAAAAACAACGTCTCTGTGGACAGACTGAAACCAGCGTACATGGCCAAAGAAACCAAAGAAATGAAGCCCAAAGTCCCTACGGAACCTGTCATCAGCAAAGAGAAAATCACGCGGAGTGGCCGAAGAGTAAGATTTACAGACTACTATCGACCGTAGTTACGGTCTGGCCAGGGGGAATATTTGGCGTAACTCGCTTCCCTTGGATCTACATAAATCCGCTACGCGCATGAGGATTAAGCCACACTCTTATATCACACCACTACCAGAAAGCAATAGGGCGACGTCGATAAGATAAGGCCCCGCGCCTTCGCCAGAGCGCGAGACTGCGCGACGTTCATTCCGCCTGCAACCGGCATAGCAACAGGACACGCGCGCGCTACTTATCTCAATTAACGTACATTGTACTCGTAGTTAATTTCGCCTTGTAAATTTATTTGTAGTAAAAGTTGTTTGTTAGATCGAAATAACATTACTTCATTCGAGTCAGTTAATATTTATTCCTATCCTTCATCAGTATTCGTTAGTTAGTAATATACTCGTAAGAATACTTAGTGTGTGTTTTGTGGTTAGGTGGTTGCGAATAATATCGAACCACTTTACGGAGTACACATATCGACCACACCCACAATTTCTACAAAAATGAAATAACGAAAGTACTAAATATGAAAGTTAGAATTTTCAAACCAATTCTCAATGGAGTAGATAACCATTTTTTGTTTTAAATTTTACAAAAAATTACGAGAATAACTGTGTTTTTTTAATTTTTATATCTTCAAAACTGACCGAGATATAAAGGCGCAAAGTTAACATTTTTGGTCTAAGCCGCGGGCCGAGCGCGACATCGTTGATGACGTCAGGATTTCTATCTTCGTGCGAGCGACCCGACGCGCACTTAGAAAATCAAAACATTTACTCGAATGTGCCCGTCGCGCGTGGATCTACTTGCTATCTATTTTTAACAAGAAACATTATAGAACATGAAACCATCTGTTAAATATTGTGCTGTGCCTCAATGTAAAAATACGGTCACAAAAACACCTGAAAAGTTGTTTTTTAATACGCCTAGAAACCCTACCATCAGAAAAACAGTACCTATGTAATGTAGATAAGTCAATGACCTGTAATGAGTTCGAAGTTTAGATACCTACCTATGTTTGCAGCAAATTTTAAAATGTTTATAATGCATATATAAAGGTTAAAATATGGAATATGTTAACAAACGTTTTTATATTTTACGATATTTCGAGCCAAAACTAAACACATCGCAGAGCTGTTCAACCATCATAATTTGCGGGCTGCAAATAATGAAAGAAGTTTGATTATGAAGTGGAGCAGTTAAAATATTTTTTCGTGTTGTATTATTTTTATGTATTACTAGTTGGTACATATTTTAAATATTGATGGAATACAAATTACGAGGTTTCTTATTTTTTTATAGACTTTAAATAAGTTCGTATTTTGTTCTAGGTCGAAAACGATATGGAAAACTACGTGAAGTACAACCTAGTTGGGGGTCCCCTCAAACTTAAAAAAGATGTTTTGCCTCACAAGAAGTAGTAAGTTCTTCAAGCCATGAAGAAAAATCTTCACATTCTAGAGAAACTTGCAATTTGATTTGCGTAGATGACACAGAATCAGAGTCCGAATTCGAAAGCTGCTCTTCTGTGCGTGTCCAGAGAACTGCAGTTACTTTTAGGTCTTCCAAAAAAGTGGTATTGTACTATTCAACTATTGAGCGTGTCTTGCAAATGCTCTCCTAAAGACGTAATATTAGTTTAAAAGAAAATAAAACTGTACTAGTCCAACGCTTTACTAGGACTTGATTTTGGCATGTCTAATGCTGCTATTGGAAACATTTAAAAAAAAAACGTTGCCGAATATTTCTTCATATATGAAAAAGCTTATATTCTTCAGAAAACCATCCCAAGTAGTAACATTGATGCTTACTCCTTTTCGCAAAAATTACAGCGATGTTCAGAGCATCACAGATTGCTTAGAGATTCAAGTCGAAAAACTCACTAATGCAGTTAAACAAACTCTTACTTGGTCAGAGTACAAATCATGCAACACTTTTAAATATTTAATATCCATTACTCCAGAAGGGAGAATAAATTTTATTTCAGAAATATATGGTGGACGAGCATCTGACTCGGTTATATTTGAAGACTGTGGCATTTAGGATTTAATGCCTAAAAATGCAGCAGTCATGGCTGACCGCGGTTTCAAAAAAGTGGCACATCTCATTAATGAGAAAGAGTGTATTTTAATCAAACCACCTAGTGTGAATTCAAGAACCACTCCAACAAAAGAGAGGGTTCTAGAAACATAAAAAAATGCTGCTCTACGAATACCTGTTGAAAGGTCTATTGGTAAATTAAGAAATTTTGGATTTTTGAAGCTAAATGCCCCCGTAGATCTTAAAAAATGTGGGTTTGTAGGACTATGTACGAGGGGTGATCCAAAAGTAATGATAATTAAAATAAACACACTGCTTGCGGAATAGTAAACTTACTAAGTTTTTTATTTAAGATAGAACAATGAGTCCCTCTTACCGCTTCATTGAATGTTTTTAATGTTTAGTTTTATTTTGTAATACCGTTTTATTTGCGAAGAGTAGGGAGTTTTCGAATAATTTTATACCATTGATTATCACTATGAGTTTAAAGGAAAATAAAACATTATATTAGCAGAGTAAACTTTTTTATTGATCCTCTTTTTGACCTATTTTAATAAGTTTTGTAAAAATAAATTTTCCCAAAACTTTCTTATTTTGTCCAGAAGTTCCTGGCAATAATTTTCATTGAACTGAACTCCCATGATGTGCACTTTTATGGAAACCTCAAAATCAGGATGTGCAATGCAAAAAAAAACCTTTCAATTTTCCCGTTAGAAGCATTTGTGTCCGTATTTGAGCTAAATTTTTTTCCCTATAAGTCCATTCTTGTAATACTGACTGAATGCTCCTTTTTTTGATGGATACTTAATCTCAATCACGTGTGTGTCAGTAATCCCGTCGGGTGACGCTCCAAAAATGGGTAGGTTCCATCAAGAAAAAGTCCGGAGGGTTGGATGGAATTGTTTTTGTTTCTCCACTTCTTTCTTGACACTATTTTCTAACACCTTCCCTCTTTTCATAGCTTCGGTTTCGACTACAAATTTGGTGCCAAATATTTCCTCTACAAGAGTACCATCATATGTGTGACACTGTGCAGCTTCGTGGGCTTTCGATGCGGTCACACGTCCATACCGCATTTCGTACCAAATACCTGAGTTGCTTTGAGTTCTAGTAGACTTTTCGACAAGTTTACATTTTTCTTTATTCATCTCTGTTGTGCAATAGCTCAAAAACTTTTCCAAACTTGAATCATTAAAATGTTGTGTGAAAAAACATACAAGATAATGCATAGACATTTTTTTATGTCTGATTTTTCTTTATAATAAGGAAAAAGCTGACAATCAATACCGAAATCACTCATCTTCTGAACTGTTTTGTCCTAAAAGTCTTCGCCACAGTCTTGGGATATTGTACTGTCTTTGTTTTCTCTAAAGTCTTTAGTTTTAATAAATTTCTTTGTAGTTACGATTCCTGTAACATTAATATTCTATTCTACACAAAAACAATCCTCCGTTATATATAGCCAACAAAGATTGCTTTTCTTCGTGTTGGCGTGTTGGCCAGTACGATCGTAGATTTGTTGGTCCTTAGTGAAATAAAAAGTATCAAACCGACACCAACTATGCAATCATCTACCGGTAAAAAAAATTCATCCCAATCGGTACAGTAGTTTTGATCCCGTAGTATAAAATAGGGAAAATGATATAACAAAATTTTTTGCGAGACATATTCGCAGGTGAATATTAGTTTTTAAATAAAAGCTCTACTATAGACGTGGTATTTACATACCTGAAAGATTCGATTTTTTTTTCAGTAATATTTTATTTCAGTTAGAGAAGGCTCTTCTGTGCACCTCTGCAGCCACATTAGGAAGGAAACTGCACGTTTGCAACCGTCTTGGCTAGCTGCACAGTCTTTGCAAGTAATAAATTGTTACGCCACACCACCACAGCCAATCACAGCGCACCGTTCAAACCAGCCAATCGTAGTCAAGCCAAAACAAAGCCACCACTCTAATTACCGGATGCCTCTGGTAGGGGGTCTAGCTATATAGTGCCTTACAACCTCATTTTTGGGAGTTCTTACAATACCGCTCTTTGTACGACGAAACTCTGTTGAAATATTAAAATTAAATAACATTATTATGTTTATAGTTTTCTACCTTCTTTTTATTTTACTAACTGTTACATCTCAGAAGTGGGATAAGAAGTGAAAGCTATGAAGCGTCGTCACATCAATATGCCAAGAAAAGGAGCATAATGTCCGCTCTCAAGAATGGAGTGAATCACCATGTAAAGATTTATCCAAAAAAAAAGCGACACTGAAGACGAGGTCACACAACCAAATACTCCTCCGGCACGGAAAATCCTTAGAAGTCTATTGGAAACCGAGGTACAAAAGGCAATGCAATAGTTAGACGAAGAGTTACCCTCCGTAACTACAGGAAAAGAACACCGCGCGGCCTCACTTATTCCAGAGTTCAACCGCGATAGTGAAGAATGTAGTACTGCAACAGCATGGCTCAAAAAAATAGATCAACTCTTTGAAATTCACGGCTGGAGCGAAACTACAAGGTCGTTTTACCTGCAACATAGACTAAGAGGTCAAGCAAGACGATGGTACAATCGGCTTGATGAGTACGATTAGCCCTGGCAAGAATGGAAGCAGATGCTGGTGCGTGCTTTTCCTAAACATCGTGATTTCGTTAATAATATGATAGATTATATAAAAAAAGAAATTAACATCTAAAGGAAAGAAAATACTAAACCTTCCTTTTTTAAGTTCCCATAACTAGCCCTGAGTCTCTAAATATCTACACACAAAATTTCATGAAAATCTCTTTAGTGGCTTTTGCTTAAACCGTGAATACACAGACATACAGACAGACAGGCAGCTAGAAAAAATTCTAAAAACTATCAATTTTGCTTCAGTGCCTTTCATTTAATCCCATGGACTTGTTTTTCCAGAAAATGTTATAATTATAGACACGACTTATTTATTTAATATATAGCACAAGTTATTTATACCAGTTACTCGACTCCAAAGATCTCCAACGACCTTCATGGGGCAATGTATACGCATTTACAACAAAGTCCCGGAAAATGTGCAGACCATATTTATCAAAAGTTTTAAAACATTTACTAAGCAAAAATTGTTTAGTAAGGGTTGCTATAATACTAATAATAATAATAATTAATAAGACCGTAAGGAAGGAGAAGGAGCTCCACGGGAGGTACTACAGGGCTCTATATGAGCCCCACGTAGATACAGCCGCCTCCATCAACTAACTACGTTTCGGTGACCTCTTCGGGGAAACCGAGGGTTTTGTCTGTGCAATACAGGATCAGGTTATTAAGACCAACAACTATCGGAAATTCATCCTAAAGGATGGCACTGTCGACGTCTGTCGAGCTTTTCGCCATCCCGGGGAGTCACTTAGGCATGTCATCTCCGGTTGTTCGGCGCTTTCTAACTCTGAGTACTTGCACAGGCGCAACCTAGTAGCCATAATTCTACACCAGGGGCTCGCTCTGAAATACGGTCTCGTGGACCGAAAATTGCCGTATTACAAATACTTGCCGGAAGCCGTGTCCGAAAATGACCGTGCCAGGCTCTACTGGGACCGGGCCATCATCACAGATAGGACTATTCTTGCGAATAAGCCTGATATTATGGTGATGGACCGGGCACAGTCAAGGATATTTTTGGTCGACATTTTTATTCTATATAAAATATCTGGACCTGGCTAACGAGGTGACCGACATGTGGGGTGGGCTGTTGACCGAAATTATACCTGTAGTCGTTTCTGCAAACGAGTTAATCCAAGTCAGCCTCTCGGGTCATCTGAAGCGACTGGGACTCCGTGACGGACTGCTCCGGGCTCAAATGCAGAAGGCGGTGCTCCTTGATACTGCCCGCATTGTCCGCCGGTTTCTTTCCTTTCCCCCTAACCCTCGGCCGTCTGGTCTCCTATGCCGAGGGCTTCCATCAGATTGGGCTTTTATTTATTTATGTATTTTTTATGTATTTATTTTATTTTATTGTTATTTATGTATATTTATTATTTTCGTTCGCAATTATATATTTATGGAACCCAACCAGATGAGAAAATTATATAGATACCCCATAATAATAATAATAATAAAAAGGCGTATAGAAATGACGACCCCATCGCCCGCTGACGTAACAGTTATGTGACAAAACTGCTACGTCGACGCAGTCAGTCAGCGCCGTGCCTAGGCAAAATTGTGGGTGCAAAGATCCGTTTGTGCGTATGACCCAACCACGAAACGGTGCCGTGCTTGGGCGTCTCCCGTTATTTGGCGCCCATAAAATGGGTGATGACACAGAGAAGAACGCGCATAGGGTCACTGCCTGGGGGTCGCCGGGGCGCGTCTGGACCTGGAGCTGGACGTGGCAGCATGCGGACCGCCAGCCGAGCGCGAGGAGCTGCACGATCACCTAGCAGGCCCCCGCATTCATCATCCCCACCAGAAGGCTTGGTGTCGGCTGGGTCTTCTCGGACTCAGCAAGCGGCACACGCCGCTGGTGGAGCACGTCGCATGCGTTGGATAAAAGCTATGAACGAAAACGCATTGAGGGCGTACTACAGGGCGAAAGGGGAAGAAACTGTGGGAATAACGTATAGGGTTCGGATGCATTGCTTTTTTGCTGAGCTGGAGCCGTCTATTCCTGTCACGGAACAAAACCTGGCAGACCGAGTTCTGTACATCATGCGCTCGAAAATATTTGATGATGCCGAACTCGAACGACCACGACGTTAGGCTATTCCATCATCGAATGAATCGGCTATGGCTTGGGATGCAGCTCCACATGCGACAGACGTCACACGTGGAAGCCGCCATGGATCTTCCAGTTGTGGTTGATTCGAACGACGATGAAATAGTCTCCCACGAACTAGATCAAATGAGGAGCATATTGGATGAGGCGATTTTGGAAACGACGCCTCCGAAAAGTGACTTCCCCGCATACCCCTAAGCAAGCGAAATTGGGCTGTCGTGAGGGCTCTTAACCCAATACTGGTGACCTATTTGGAAGCCAGCCGGGACCTTTGCGAGACGGACTCAATTCTTTTTGGCGCCGCAGTGACAATTTATCGTATTATAGGTGCCAAATTTCCCATGGCTGGACGCGCTACTAGACAAAGTATCGCCATCCTAGCCTGGAGAAAAAGAATCGAGGACCGTATCGTAAAGGCAAGAGCCCTTATCCGCAGACTCACAAGCTTCAGGTCGGGTATTAATAGACCGAAGATTGTGCGCACCGTTAAGATGGCGTTTGCTGGGACAAATATCAGTTTGTCCCAGCCGGATATCACGCAGAAACTAACGAAGCGCATAGACGACCTGAAGCAAAAGATCACTGCTTGGGGGAAGTGGATTCGACGATTTACCGAAAGTCAAGGCGGTTCAACCAGAATCGTCTCTTCCACAGTGATCAGAAGAGGCTCTATAAATCATTGGAGTGACCAGAGGTATGTGGAGCGGGCCCCGGACCGGATCAGGCTGACATTATCGCATTCTGGCGTGGCCTGTGGTCAGAGCCCGTAAAACACAGCGAGGGCCCCTGGATGGAAAGTTGTGGCGAGCCAGGGTGCGAGTGTTACGTCTATGGACCCCATTACCATAACGCCGGAAGACGTAGCTGAGGCGGTTCGTAGGGCCCCGAACTGGAAAAGTCCGGGGCTCGACGAGCTGCATCATTACTGGCTGAAGGGGTTCATAGTGTGTCACGCTGTGCTCGCCCGACCCGAGTGCGCTCCCGAGCCTCTTCACTACTGGGATCACTCACTTGGTTCCTAAAGATCAGGATACCACAGACCCGAGCAAATACCATCACATGTCTACCCACCATATACATATAAGACACTGACATCCATTTTGAGCGTGAGAATCACTCGTCACCTGGAGCTAAACCAGGTGATGTCACGCGCTCAAAATGGATGTCGGGGCGGTGGTCGTGGAACCAAGGAACCACTCCTAATTGACACGGTCTTTGGCAAAGTGGTGAAACGTAACCGTCGGAACTTCTCTGCCGCCTGGATAGACTACAGAAAGGCGTTCGACTCGGTGCCCCATACATGGCTAAAGAGGGTCCTCGAACTGTACAAGATTGACTGTACAGTTAGAGACTACCTCGAGTAGCGTATGGGGTAGTGGAGTACGATCCTTTGTCATCTGGGCGAGCGGATGATGGCTGCGGAGAACCACATAAGGATAAGAAGGGGTATCTTCCAGGGAGATTGTCTGAGTCCAATCTAGTTCTGCCTCTTTCTGAACCCTGAACCCCTCTGAAACTGGTATGACACAGTTTGCGACGTGTTTTATGCACGCTTGACCAAAGTACTTAACAGCCTTTTGTCCGGTGTGAATAAGACACACGCATGTAACGGCTGGTTCATGCCTGTCCTCATGTATACCTTTGACATACTCAGGTGGACTCAGACCGAACTTAAAGCACTGGATAGAAAAGTCCGTACTACCATGAAGTCCCATAGGATGCATCATCAGAGACCGTCGGTAATGACAGCCTCATTGCTTTACTTGCCGCAAAAGCATGGTGGGCGTCGCTTTTTGAGCGTCTCTCTCACCATGCATAATTGCGAAGTGTGCAGCCTTCGTCATAACTTCCTGGCGAGATTAGATGATCCAATCTATAATGACGTCATTTCTAGTGAACTTAGGGCTTACCCTTCTATCCCTAGCCTACGAGCAATGGCAGGACCCAGCAGTGCTTAGCATTTCCGACCGGGAGACCGTATGGAGGGAGAAGGAGCTCCACGGGAGGTACTACAGGGCTCTACATGAACCCTTCGTAGATACAATCGCCCCCTCAACTGGCTACGTTTCGGTGACCTCTTCGGGGAAACCGAGGGTTTTGTCTGCGCAATGCAGGATTAGGTTATTACGACCAACAACTATCGGAGATACATCCTAAAGGATGGCATTGCCGACGTTTGTCGAGCTTGTCGCCATCCCGGGGAGTCACTTAAGCATGTCATCTCCGGTTGGTCACCGCTTTCTAACTCTGAGTACTTGCACAGGCACAACCTAGTAGCCAGAATTCTACACCAGGAGCTCGCTCTGAAAATTGCCGTATTACAAGTACTTGCTGGAAGCCGTGCTCGAAATTGACCGCGCCGGGCTCCACTGGGACCGGGCCATCATCACAGACAGGACTATTCTTGCGAATAAGCCTGATATTGTGCTGATGGACCGGGCACAGTCAAGGATATTTTTGGTACATAATATCATTCCGTATGACGAGAACCTCTTAAAAGCCGAAACAGATAAACGAACAAAATATCTGGACCTGGCTTACGAGGTGACCGACATGTGGGGTGGTATGCCGGCCGAAATCATTCCTGTAGTCGTCTCTGCGAATGGGCTAATCCCAGTCATCCTCTCGGGTCATCTGAGGCGACTGGGACTCAGTGACGGACCGCTCCGGGCTCAAATGCAGAAGGCGGTACTCTTCGATACCGCCCGCATCATCCGCCGGTTTCTTTCCCTTTCCCCCTAACACTCGGCCGTTTGGTCTCCCCTGCCGAGGGCTTAAATCTGGTTGGATCTTATTTATTTATGTATTTTTTTGTATTTATTTTATTTTATTGATATTTATGTATATTTATCTTTTCATTTTAATTTATAATTATATATTTATAGAACGCAACCAGATGAGAAAACTATATAGATACCCCATAAAATAATAATAATAATGTCTTCCGGACCGAAATTCAGTCACGGCGGCCAGCTTCAACGGAGACTAGCCATCGGCGCAGGACAGGATTATAGTGCCCAAGTATATGCGCAAGCACAAGTGCACTCACTATTCCCTCACCTCATAAACCGATGGGACGGTAAACCGACATGACCGGAGAGGGATCAGGCGCAGGACCAACGGCTTTACGTGCTTTCCGAGACACGGGGGTGAGACACCGCCAACTTCCTGACTCCGGGCAGCTACTGAGAATTTCTTGATGTAAAACTCAATAATTGATTTTTTTGGCCCGGCCCGGGATTCTCACCCAGGACCCCATGATCAGCAGTCGCACTACTACAACCACTAGACCAACAAAGCATATACTAAAGAGTACATGATTGTCCCTCGGTTCCTGGATGGTTTAAATACTCAATTGCACTCAGTATATGGCGCTTTTGTCGCGGTCTAGAAATGACATGTGCGAAGCCAGGGCGGATCGCTAGTATTGTAATAAAAATTATTTTATTTCAGTGTTTTCTAAAATTTAACCCTTGACTTTCTTTTAAAATAAAAGCGTTAATCAAATACAATCTCTGATGTCTCTGTTTGAATAACCATAGTAAAAACAATGAAACAAGTGAATGAAATAATTTCCGGTAGCGATTTTACATTGACACACTTAGCTCACCTCATGTTTTATTATCAATATGTGTTAATGGAATAGTATATATCTATGCAATAACACATAACAAAAACAACATGTTCTGTGTTAAAATATACATATATGATACAGGCTGATACCCGGGTTCGCTACATTTTATTGTAGAAGCTTTTAAATTTTTTCATGGTACTGTCGTAAGATTCGTTCTTAGTGAGCGTTTACGTTGCGAAATGAGTAACTATACTAAATTTCTAATCAATCGGCTATACAGTTTTGAAGATCTCGTCATAAGTCAGTCAGTCTGTGGTATTTCGCTTACATACTGGTATATTTTAATAATTTTTGATAAAGTAATGAACTTTTATTTTACATAATTTGAATGGACAAACAAACTTTCAGTCCATCTGATGGTAAGCAGCTACTGCAGTCCATGTTCACCTGTAGATAACTTCAAGTAAATAGGCTACAAATAAGTCTTCATTTTTAAGGACAAAGATGAAATATTTCACAGTCTCATTTCTCGGAATATGAGAGGTCTCTTCGAGATATAAAATCAGCCCGTTGCCACTTCAGCTTCAGGTTACACGTGATAGAGCCTTGCTGCAGCTATATTGTGGTTGCAGCACGAATGGGTCAGCTCGACAGGGGTGGGACCACGCTCTCACAGAATACCAGCGTAAAATAGCTGCTTAATGCTGCTGTGTTTCATTTGGTGAGTGTAGAGAACCGGAGACCCTTTTTTACTGGAAATGACGCATTCCATCTCAGTCCTCAGCGCTAGCAATGCATCTGCATTTTGATTCTTAATTGAAGATAAATGTAGATGTCTATGGGTCGCAGCATCCACTTACCATCAGGTGTACTGTGTGCTCGTTTGTCACCTTTATTCTATATCACGATGAGACTGAGCATAGCCCTCTCCCATTGCTCGCTTTGCGACCTTAAGCTTCTCCATACGGCCAACATTGAAGAACTTGGACTTAGATTCACATATCATCACTAGTTGTACATTCTTTTTTTAGATATTGACGCATAAATTGAAAATAATGTTACGCGCTCAAGTCGACGATACACTAGCGCCATCTAGTGTCAGGAACGAGAGCGAGGGGAGCTTTGCAGAAAATGACACAAATCTTTTTAACCGACAGCGCCATCCTGACGAACTAAGTTTCTAGAAAATCTACACTCGAACACTCCTCGCTTTGCGCGCATTTACTTGAATATTCCGGATGCTTCATTGCTAATTTGTATATATAGGCGCTGCAAGATGCGATCGGGGTAGAAGTATTGTATTTGGCAAAACAAGTGAAGCTTCGGAGCGGAATAAAGTGAATTAGTGTGCTTAATTATTAGTGTTTTAAGTTTTAATTTGTGTAAAGAAAATTAAAGTGTTAATTTAGG